ACTGTCCGTTGGAAGGACTCCAACCTGCAGGGAAAAAACACTCTCACATCTAAACTGAAAAACCTAAATGCCAGGAAAAGGCACAATGCCTCTTTAAGAGTCAACAGTAAATCAACTTGCCCATAAGAGTGCAATAATTAGCAGTTAGTAGCTTATTAAAAGGATGGCAAAGGCCAAGCTGCCATCTGGGATCTCCAGTTTCTTGTGATTGTTATTATGTCAAGATGTGCAACTTGCATTAGCTTTCATGTCACTGTGCTTGCCCTTACTTTACATGTAAATTTTAATGAAAGATACAGCACTTTAAAAATCAGACGTCCATCAAAAGTGCTATTAGTCTGCCTTTTACAAAGCATATGGCCTGTTTTGCTACCTCTGCATCTCTACACACCACTGAATGCCTTAAATGAAGAAAACAGAGGAAGAAAAAAAAGTCTTTCAATGATATCAATTAAATATTCTCTTTGGGCAGAGTGAAACCTGAGCCTCACTGAAAACAGAAGACTACAATACAGCGTAAGAAGACAATATTTTAGCTCCTGTTTACACACAACATGACTACAATGCCTTTAACTCTCACAGGAATCATTCTTCTTAATAAAAATGAAAGCCAACGAAGAATCAGCTGTTTATTCACACGTTAGAAAGACACAGTTTTAAAATAAGGCAGAAAGAAAGCATGTAAGAAAAAATAAATTACCTGTAATCTACAAAATACTTAACACATTACTAAATATTTTATGCATACACATTATTTGTAAACACACATACTCATACGCACAAACAAAAAATAATTTACCAGAAATGTCCTATTTAATGTCTCATTTGTCTGCCTTCATAAATATATTACAGAGGTGTAAAAAGAAGAATGTTTATAAGACATCTATTCCTTTGCGTTAGCTGATATTCAACATTTAAGTGACCTCATTCACCAAAGTTCGGAAAATGTCATCACCTCTGGAATATAAAGAAATAGGATGAATGCCTTGCAGAAATGTCCCTCAGTATCTTACACTCGAAATTCATCAACTATCAATCATCTCTGATTAGACTTATAAGAGTTACATTAAAATATTTGTTTCTTCCCTAAATAAAATATGAAACCAGCAGGAAAAAACTTACAAAAAATGATTCCAGAAGAATGACGTCTACATTCAAGAGGCCTTGATTCTATCAAAGAGGTTTTACAGATTGGGTATTTGCTAACCATAAAATAAAATGCTTTATTTTTTAAACAGTCATTAAGAGGAAAGTTAAAACTGAAAGTCACCATCCTTATAATAATGCAGGATTTTTTTCCCACCAAAAGGAAAACAAACCCAATACCACACATAGTTTAAAAGTATTAAGGAAATTACTGTAAGTGTAGAAACCAAAAACATACAGTAGTCATATTTACAACCCAAATATTAAGATCTTTTACAGGGCAAAACAGAGCTTAAAAACTACTGCCAAGGCTGGCAAGATGAATGTAGTGTTGCTTTTCCCCTTGTATAATTAGATATTTATAGAGCACAAATGGTTTAATTTGTTACTGATGTTTCACTTCAACATTTGCATAAACTCTTGGCCACTCAGATGGACTTATTCACACTGCTCTGAAATCCTAATGGCATTACTGGTGAAGAAGAACTCGAAATTATTTTCCAGATCAGTAAGGTCCAGTCATTTCCTTCTATCCAAGTCCACAAATGCTATTTTGTTGTTTCTGTGCCATTACCTCCTGGTCAATACTATTGAACAATTCAAAGAAATAACAACCTCACGCTGCTCACTGAGAGCAATGCTGAACATTATGAGACTTAAAAGACCGACTTGGGTTAAGAGCAGTTAGGACCAAGGGAGATAATCTGATCTTGCAATGCTGAGAATTGCACGGGGAATTTGCCAGTAGCCTTTGGTTTACACAACATGCACTAAAGAGTCCCACACATGAAATATGTATGTACTCTTTCATTTCTCTCTGAGAATGGAGAAAAAACCTGCTTCATGTTGAAAATGAGTGTGCAGCTGTGCAGTTTTTCATCCCAAGCACAGCTACTGATGGAGGGAAGGAGCCCAGTGCCTTAGAGGAGAAGCAGCAGTCTGCAGACTGCAAGGGTGCTATGGAGGTGTCCTGTGCGCACCCAGAAACCAGGCACACCTCACTGTTATTCTTTGTGTCAGAGGGGACATTTGGGACTTTTCAGTTCTTTGGGTGAATCTTGGCCCACTAAATTCAATGTGAATTTTGCTATTGCCTTCAAGAAGACACAGGACTTCGTTCACCGAAAATAGCAGAGTCCCACCAGGAACACAGCCGATGTCCTCTGGAGGCATGAACCTCAATAGAAGCCAGATCCAAACCAAGAGTGATGATAAAACAAAACCCACTACATATATAAAAGAATGGTGAAAGGTAGCAAAAAGGCAAATTATCATTTTCTTAACAAAGGCTGTCAAGAGAACAAATGATATGGAAGAACGTGACTACACATTAACTCCAGTTCAATAGCAAATTAGAGTTGGATATTTATGATCTCCTTTGGTACCATTTACTTGTGGGGGAGTGTTAGGGAAATAAACTCAATATAATTGTTCCTTAATTGTCAATTCCTCTCCAGAAGAGAAGTCGTATTCAGCAATTCATGCCAAACTAAATAAAAGTCCTCCCTGCTCATCATGCATTTACCTCATCTCCGCGACCAGTTCCATACACCTAATAAAAACACAAACAATGCATATATACTCAGTTCAGGTTAAAATACAAGTGGTACCCAGGTGCTTTTCTGTATCTCGACTGCTCCAGCCACTACCCCAGAACACCTACACTTCATCTTCTTCAGCTTTCCAGGAACTTATTAAAAAAAAAAAAATCTCCTGAACTTTTTAAGAAGGATAGAAGCAGAAGAAGCCTATTTACTACAGTAGAAGCAACTAAAGGAAGACTTGTTTCAAATGATGAATGCAAGGTCACAGACTGCTATACATTGTGAAGAGGTTTTATGAAATCAAATACATCATATCCTTTGGATACATACATGGCATGAGACAGAGCGGCTGCCAGTTTTTACTAAAAACTACAAGAATGCCAAAAAATATGAACCTTCCAGGTACAATCACTAAGGCATCTGGTACCACCTTCTCTATGAGCTAAAGGCCATGTGTGGGTTCAAAATTACACTGCTTGAGCCCTCTGAAGGTAATACCATTTTTCATACAGAGTGATGGTTCTCTGATGAAGTCACTTGCTATAACTAGAGATAAAAACTATACATAGCTGGGAAGTGAAACAATATTTTTACTCAATGACACAATAAATTAAGTTTCAGTGCATATGAGTTAATTGTGGACTATATATTATAATCCTCATTCCTACAGGCTCAACTGGGAGTTTTGCTTTGGAAAAGACTTTCAGTTTAGTCCCGCATAGATTGGCCTGCAGCACAAATGCCACCTGAGAAAAGAAGGGGGCAACATGAGCTAACATCACACCATACAAAACTCGCCCTGATCTACACTGACCCTTAAATCACACTAAGCCATACATCAGCTAACTCAATTATTGGCAGCTGTGTTGAGGCACAGTAACATTTTGTATAGTGTGCTTAGAGCTTTAGGTTCTCACATTTTTTACAGTGTATGTGATTATTACATTCTGATGTTCACCTCTTGCTAAGAAGATAGCTCTGAGTACAGCTTATGTATTATCCTCCACCGCCCAACTTTGGATAGAATAGAAAAGCTATGAAATTAATTATTGGAATATTTTTTCAACCTCAAAACAGAACCAATAATATTGATTACATGATGCACCCCATCACAGAGAATCCAACAATACAAATTTGATAGAAGGAGGCAGGGCATCAGAAGGAGGAATCATACAAAGAGACAGTGTTTAATATGCCATTGTGCTCCCCAGAATTCAGGTATTACAGGAGGAGTGATCACTGGGCAGAGACTGCTTGTGCCTCAAAGGAAAGTTATTATGAACAAATCCTCTGAGCTCTCATATCCTCCCAAATTCATAGTAGTACAATTAGTCATTTCATCCCCCAATGCCTTATTGGCATGGACACACCCAACATCCTCCAACGTGTTCAAATCATGTTGATCAATAGATCAGATTCTTCAGCAGTGTATTTGCTGAAAAGGAGTAAGCCTTAGCATAATAAAACCTTTTAAACTCTCTATCTTATTGGAAAATAGGACAAAGAAATGGATTTTCCTCGAGCAGTGCTTATAATTTATCAATTAATCTTCACCATTCCCTCCAGTCCAACTGGAGACCCACAGCAAGTTTGCAGCATTTTGCCTTTTTGACAGTTTTGATTAGGGATGGATGACTGCCCTCTGCATGCTAAAGATAGATAGGTGTGAACTGCTGAAGAACAAGCTGGAGCCCCAGAGCAGCCTTACATGCCCTGTGCTGTGCTGAGCTGCAAAGGCAATGGACCTCTCTGTTTAGCAGTGCTGATCACTTCTGTTTCCTCTGCAGCTTTTTGCAACTCGATTTCTCTTTGAAAAACACCTTTTCACTAACAGAGAGGATGGGAAGCAGAGCTGGGGGAGAAATGATAGCCCAAAAGACCTCCGTCGTTGAAGGGTACTAGACAAGCCCAGGTCCTGCTTCCACCACTGCCAGTGCCAAAATTCCCAGCAGTAGCATCACTCCAGTGCAAGAGAGTAGGCAGGACCAGCTCACTGGCCTCTGGCTCTGTCTTCAACTGAACTGACTGTCGCTTTGCACCCCAGCGTCACCAGCTACAGAGAGCCTGACACTGCACAGCCCATACTTAGTGTGAACAGGGAGAAAATAACATCTGTTAAGACGGCCTCAAAGCATTCATCTTAATAAATATTTCTTCCATAATTCAATACAAAACAAAAGATTGTTAAGAGACTTTTAAAAGTAAAGGCATTAAGTTCCAATATGAACCACATTCATAAAAATACAATTTGTCCGTTGACAAACAAACATTTTACAAGCAATGAAGTCTTAAAAAGAATGCAATCTCTACCTTTACTTCTACCTACAGACAGGAAGGTGTGTGTCCAGTTAAGAGGAGGAACAAGAGGGGTGTCCATCATGGAGGAGGCAAAAGAGAAGAGAAGGAAGAAACATAAAAAACAGAAAATGATGTCACTGGCCATACTTACAAAAACAAGAAAACAAGCATATTTATGTAGCAGCCAAACCCAACAAAACACAATGTCAAGGGAAAAACGAGAGAGACACCACAACTAAAGCACAAAGCAAGGCTTAAACAACTGACAGTACAACCAGCAACTGCCTGGTTAAGCCCTTTGGCTTTAAGTTTTTTCTACTGAGAAATGCAAACCTCTCTCATGCAATAGCATGCCAGTGATATGCCTCATTCCACTTCAAATTCAAAACAGCAAGGGAAACAACAGAGTAGGACAGGAAAAAAATAAATCTCATGGTAATATATTTGCTAAATATATTTCATCTACCAGAGCTAATGTATTTGTATATAATGTTGACATTGCATATTTACTCACACATATACATTTACTTATTTTATATCCATCATATTTTTATAGAGAGTAAATATTTACCAAAAAGGAATATCTGTGAGTTGGTTGGCAAGAAAAGAGAAGCCACTATTCCCTGATGCGTCATGGATAAATAAGGGTGGCTAAAGTTGCCAGAAGCCAGTAGTTTTCACATTTTTTTGCCAGGCAAGGGAGTATAGAAAGGGCTGATGACAATCATACAGGCCTGAACAGGTCATGCAAGTCTTCATGAGCCAGCTGGGTTGCAACTTGTAATCTAAATGGCCAAGTGCATCTGTTTATATAATACAGTGCTAACTCACAGACTGCTACAAAGATATGTTCAGTGTTACTGAGATTGAAAGTGGCCATGAAAGTTCACTGTCCTGATCACTCCCAACATGCCATCATCCTTCCTCTGTCAATGGCTTGCCATACTCAGCTGCATCCTGAGCAACCAGGACATCTGAAGGGACCTGTCTACTGGATGCTCCCTCACCAAGCACAACCTCCAAGCCATGAGCCCAGCTGAACAGTAATCCCCACAGTAAGTGGGGACAGAGAAGGAGCTCAACGCTACCCAGAGCTTAGCCAGATGCTCCACATGCCAAATACCATGGTCTTGACATGCACTCATAAAGAGCCCTGTTTTCCTACCTTTCCCACCACATAAGGATGCTAAGCAGTACAGAAACTGAAGAGTGAGCCCCCACTTCACTTCTGATGATTGTTTCCTAAGCTTTCATGACCTCAGAGCAGACATCTGCCTTGAACTACAGAATAAAAACTGATTATGTCCTAAGCCTCTCTACATTTCCCTGAGATACATAGAAACTATGTCTCTTTTTTTCAAGTACCGAATTACTCTTGAGCCTTCACAGGCACTACATTCTATCTTATTAACTCTTTGGACTGTCTAACTTCAGATACGTGTTCACTTAATGGCAAAAACACTATTGTGTACACCTAGTCTAGGAAAGCCTCATCAGGCTTTAGTGTCAAACTCACATTTTCTCCCCACAGACAAAGAGTTGGTCTGGTCTTCCTAGTGCACCATGTACACACTCCTTGTATTAAGTCTTCAACCATTTCACTCCTGCATTCGCAAGACTAGAATGCATCACCAGAGCTGCTAACTCCTCACTGTGTACCCATGTCAGCAAGACACTGACACTATCTGAGGAAAACAGAATCATCCCTCTCCTCACCTCGCCTCTCCTCACCAGCTTCTTGCTCCACAGTCCCATAGTGCGAAATGGGACTAATGATCCCATCATGTCACAGCCAATAGATCTGTAACACAATCCAGGCTGAGATATTAAAATGTGAACTCTGATATAGGCCTAGATCCCATTTGTAGCCCAACCTGGGGTTAGCTTTGTTCTTTTTCTAAACCAATTTACTCTGTGCATATTTGAATATTTTAAATTGCAGACACAGGACTTACAGGCCATTATATGCAATTTTCCTCAGGATTCATAATGAGTTAGGGTCATGCCATGAGGGCTATTAACATATTTTTTGTAATAATTGCACTCTTAAAAATAAAGACCAACACTGAGGTCTACATTTACTGGGCAGAAGTGGGAGTCATTACAGCTGGCACCACAAGAAAGAAATGGCAAGATAAAATAGTTGGTGGGATGCATGGAAGGGGGAAGCATACCTCTTTAGTGTCCATGGAATCATTTCATGCTCCCTCCTGGGCACCTGAGTCCCAGGCTGACAAGTAGCCATGGCTCATGGGACACAAAGGCAAAAATGCAAATGGCTTGACTGGCACCCAGTAGGCTTAGTTGCTTTTGTCATGCAAAGCCCAGCTCAGAAAAGCAGCAGGGACAAAGCTCTTTCATGATCAGTGACTGAAACAAAGAGAAAGTCAAAGGACTTACCTTGTTCACCCATCATCAGGTGTGAGAGGCCTTTGAAAGAGAGAGAGAGAGAGAGGAAGTAAGAAAAAAAAGAACAAAACAGAAAAAGAAGCAGCAATATCCATGCACACTGGTCACAGTCCAATACCTCTCAGGATTGGAGCTCGCATACTTGAACTAGACCAAGTATGGGTGCAGCACACAGGGCACACACATATGCAGGTGCTGCTTTCTACACTGAGCAGAAAAGCATCTGTCACAGGTAGAAAAAACCTGCTGGTAGTTGCAGAACTGTGTTTGAGGTTCATCATATCCCTTGGGGAGTGACTCCAGAGGCACTGCACACCAGTATGGCTAAATGGGCTAGGAAAGCCAAGGTCTGCAATGGGGCTCTGCAGGGAGCATTTGCTCCTCTGGAGAGCTACAGAAATAACTTCTCTTCAGCTCAAGATTTAAAATTCAAGGCTGCAGTGGTCAGTGAAAGGGAGGCCATGATCCCACCAGATCTGCTTCAGATGAAACATCTGGGCTAAATGCATACACACACACAAAGCTATCCTCATTCTTGAACATGGTGGCTTCAGCATGTATTTTTAGGAGTTGATCAACGCTGCTCACACTTACTAATTAGACACCAGTACACCAGACCTGGCAAGGACTAAAAAAAAAATTACCTGTAACCTATTTTTAATACTACTGCATTTCCTTTCTGGGAAGAACTGGAGATTCGACTTCTGAGGACAGTGTGTTACTTTATGGCTCTATAGTTAAAGCTACTCTTTCATTTCATAGTTCAAGGTAAAGCCAGAAAGCAGCACAGCCCCCCTCAGCAGTGACAGTCACTGTCAGCTCTGTAGATGGGGCTGTGGTGGTCACCTGGGCTGCTCTAGTCCCTGTCCGATAACTCTTTCTGACATAAACCTTGTTTGTTTCAATTAAAATCCATTTCTAGTCCCAATTTTCAAATATGTTTACTGTACAACTGTATTCATACAAATATCATTTAGATACTATTGTATATATATACATGCCCAATCCATTAAGCATCAGCTGACCCATTAGTTAATTTTGCGACACATGATATCACAGAACTAACATATACAAAAATTGAGTCCTACCCACTCAAGCCATGAGTGACCCCTTTCGTACTTGGTTCCCTGACCTTCTTCCCTTAGTTTGACTCCTTCTCCACATCTCCTGCCTCTCACAGCACTTAGTATGGCAGGGATTTTGATACACACATACACACGCACACACCCATCTTAAGTCAGTTTATTAATCAAACAGGGCTGTGACTTTTTTAATTTCACGGAGGTCAAATGAATTTATTAGAATGAGAATTTTGAACAAGCAGCATGCTGAGTTTGAATTTGTTTATTTCTCTGTCTTTTATACTTTTCCTTTGCATCTGCTGGAGAAATATAAAATCCAGATCATCCTAAGAATATGTTCACTCACAGAGAACTCCAAGCCAGATAAGGGGATTAATAATTGTACAGTCTAAGGAATGTAAATATCTTAATGTTCTTGAAGATTATTGTGGATTTAGAAAAATAATCAGAAACGCAACATAGGTTTAGATTTTTAGGTTTTTTAGCTATAAATAAACATAGCAGACTTGATACTGTAGGACATATTTCTGGTCTAAATTACAAGATATAATTTCACTGAATCATTTTGCTCTGCTAGCAGAGTGGGTTGAATTTGTGTCTCTATTTATGGCCACTGACCCCATCATTCTTGATAGGCAAATCTTAGGTCTGTCCAAATGGGCACTTGAAAGTCACTGTAAAAGGCACTGTAAAAGACGAGAAGACAAAAGTATAATTTTTAGGACCTACAAAGCACAGAGTCGCTGTAGCAATGATGAAAAAGGAGAAAAGGCAAGAAGGTGGCAGTATGACATGCAGCTGAAGGTGGCCGAACAACGAGTGGACATCAGACCCAAAGCAGAGATAGGAGTCCCAAGCCCTCAGCCCTTGTACACCGTGGGGAAGGAAAGCCATGGCTAAGAGGCACAGCACCAACAGGTGCAGCTGCTGGGGATGGCGGGGGCCTTGTCCACTTGGGAAAACGGGACACTGACAAAGAGAAACCTCCAGATAGGTTTCAAAGCAAGAGCCTGCATTAAACACCCTGAATCACATCGTAAGAAGACCCCTCTCTCCACCAGCCACAGAGGAGCTATAAAAATCTCAAAATGTCAGGAATGTCAACACCCCTTTTGTCCTTATCCCTGGAAGGCCAACGCTGTGTGCTCTATCTGTCAGGTGCATCAGCCAGGTGCAGCCCAGAACCCTTCACCTGCAGTCCAGGAGTGAGCGCACCCCAAATGTACCCACCATTCTGGCCCCTGGTTTGGCCTTGGTTCAAATGCCTGCGAAAGAAAGTCTCTCTAAGAAATGTTCTGACTCTTTTGCTTCTTGACAAATTTGAAATACAACAGCAGCTGTGGTATTGTATGTACCTCTTGATCTTCTAGTCCCAACTGGACAAAGAAAGTAGGGAGATTAATGAAAAATAATGCCCCCCCCAAAAAATGCTACTTTTTCCTTTTTAGAACAGGAAGAAAAAGGAGGGTGGACTTGGAGATATAGCAAAATAACCATATTATCTCTTAAGTTGTCCATCGACACAGATCCTTATTTTAACAAAGAGAACACCAACAGAATTCTAGATTCATTATTAGATAGAATAATAATATAAATAATGAAATAACATATCAGCTTTTCTCATCTGAAAATTTTCCTCCCTTGCAATTTAAAGTAGGAGTGAAAATGAGTGTATTTATCTCCAACAAAATGTCATTAACAACCAAAACCTTCAACCATTGAGATCTAAAATCTGTGACATTTGCAGCATGTGTAACAAAGGCCCCAAATTAGCGACAGTAAAATCAACACAGAAAATGTGAACTGACATCATTGTCTCACCTTTACATCAGTTTCAAGATATGACAAGACACTAAAACAATTTTCAAATCATAAAAGTTGAAGTCATCTCAAGGTGGCATGGGGTAGCACTTGCTACTGGACTACAATAAACGAATAGGGCATCCAACAAACAAATGCAAGAGGTGTGAGAATTGTTCAGACCTGCAAACTAGACCAGATTTTGCCAGAACAGAGGGGACACCTATCACCATGCTATTTGGGCATCAACCATAAAGGCCAGCAAAGCTTTCAGCAGGGTCAGGATGCTAAATGAACTCATCAGGCCCCAAAGCACGTTATTCACATATACAACCATTGTTTGTGCCAATAGCCATCCCATTCCGGGGGAATCCTGTAAGAAAATCTGAGTTTCCAGATGAAACATGCTTTCCTTTTAATCTTAGATTTGTTCAACAAGAAACCCTGATTAAAGCCTCAGGGCTGCAAACCCAACCAGTGTAGAACTGGGAGAAGGTTGACACAAACCTGCACGAGCCACAGTGGTCAAGGGGTTGTGTGCTTTTGCTAAACCAATCTAGTCATTCTTATAATAATGGGCTGGGCACTGTTACGGTAAGTAGGCAGATGAAAAACTCTCTAAGACTCAATTAGGAGTTTTAAAAAGCAGGCATTCTTTATTGCGGCGCCGGGCGCACAGGGGATCACTCCACTAGGTGGAGCGATCTATTCCACCCCTGTACACAGAGCTTCAAGGATTCCTTTTATCTATGGAATGTCCAGTCTGCAGAACATTTAGTTACTTCGCTTCAACAAAGAAAACCGTATGTCTCTTTAGTATTTCGGTATCAGCACAACTGCTGCCCAATAAAAATGGTGGGTAGCAAGTGCTCTGGAAAAGGTTTAGGAAAACCTCAGAATAAACAGCTTATCTGCCTGCAAAGAAATTTTATGTCTAAGTAAGTCAGGAATCTGGTGACTTGCTATTCCTGAACTTCAAACGTGAGTGACAGTAGGGACAAGCGCACGGCTTCAAAAGAAGGCTCTCAACAGGTTTCTTAGATAAGGATAAGCATCTGCTTGTGGTCAGCCTCTGGAGCCCCAGCTTCTTCAGACTTTCAGCAGTAATGTGAAGAGAAAGTTGCCTCCTTCTTCAGAACATTGGTTTGTTGTTAAAATAGTATGTCCATTGCTGAGGGCAGACAGACATATAAACTCTGATCTCTGGCCATGATTTACGCCTTCCACAACTGACTTTTCCCATTTAGGTCTGGGAGTTTTTCTGATATTTCTTTAACTTACTACCAAATCAGTATTATTTTCTTAAAGGTTAATATTAACCTCCCTTGATCTCAAAGTAACATTTCAAAGAAGAACTACATTTTTTTTTTAAATTGTGAACCATCTGCTTTCTATATCAAAATAGTAAAATTAAGTGGCTTTAATTGTACAAAGTATCAAGGGCCAACACTGGATTCTTATGAAGCCAGAAGGACATTTTTAAAAGTAGCTTCAGAGTACAATGATATGAAAGAGCAATGTAGTTAAACAGCAGTTCTCATCTTTAAGGATTTACTAGGGGCAATTCTCAGGGTGGAGGAGAAAATGAAGAAAACCTTGGAGGCAGTTTGAACCTTGCCCCCACTGCCCCACCACCACCACCCCAGCACCACATTTGGGTACTTAGCACTTAAAATGGAAAAATAAAGCCACAAAACCTAAGAAGGTGGGGAGAGCACAAAACACAGCTGAGAGTGACAACTGATTGCAGCAACAAAGGAAGATGGAGTCCTTCATCTAGTTAATTATAGCTTGTCCCGCATTACTGGGCCCATGCTCTGGGGGTGTGCACGTGTGCGTGGGTGTGCATGCACTGCTGAATTGCTCTGCTAAGGCGGGCAGCCTCAGTATTTCCCTTTTAATGATGCTGCCAGATGATTAGCCCAAAAGCTCTTAATGAATGGGAAGAGAGACTGCCAGGCAGCAGCAGCAGCCCAGCTCTCCCCAGGGGCAGGCTTGCCCACAGTGGATCCTTTCCTGGGTATCAGGCTCCATGACCCATTCAGACAATAACAGGGCCAGCTGCAATGTATGTCTGAGGCAGGGCATCGTGGCCTCTGGTCCAGGATATACATGCAAATCCTTTATGGCAGAGCTGAA